CTGTGCTGGTGCTGAGATGGGAAGTGTGCTTGAGACAGTTCCGTTCTGTATAAGTAGTAGCTCCTCTCTGCCGTAGACAAATTTGCCAGGTAGAAATGTAGACCTTCAAGAAAATCTAGGCTTCGTGGTACAGTTGATCTTTGAAATTTGTCAAAAGTGAATGCGCGCGCAAGCACGCGCACACTCTCTCTCTCTCTCTCTCTCTCTCTCTCTCTCTCTCTCTCTCTCTCTCTCTCTCTCTCTAACTCTGGACAAGCCCGCTAAGCTGGATCTGGTAGCACTTGAAGCTCTGACCTGGGCTTCACGGTATCAGTTAACTTTCTCCTCCGTTAGCCACAGGACACAAAAACGGCAAGGCAGGCTGTTAACAAGTGGTTGAGTTGGCAGTCTCCCCTCGAACCTGACTACTTTTGGTCCTGCTACCCATTCAAGAATCTACCAGCTTTCACACTCAGTGCTGAACATGCTTGCTCTAGGTGCTCATTGGCAACTTCTGCTGGCAAGTTTGCTCCGGGCTCACCAGCAGGTTCTGAGAAATCATCAGTGGGTTCCTCAGTGAGGGAACTGGGGTTTGGGGGTTTCTCGTCTTTCCCACAAACAGCCGGCCTCCCTCCCTCCCTCCTTCCTTCTTCCTTCCCTCCTTCCCCTCTCTGTCTCCATTTCCCTTTACTCTTTCTGGTCTGAAAAGCATTTTTCCTTCTCAGGGGACTGAGTGGCACGCTGCCAGCCTCAGTTCGTTCTTATTCACACACCAAAAATAACTTTTAAAATCCCTTTTCTCTGTCTTGACCATTTTGGGGAAGCCTCGACTCATGTAGCATTAGTCTTCCTGACAATTGTTTTTGTGACTCCTGCTGCTCTGATGTTTTTCTTGGTTATGCATCCTCCTCCTGTTCCCTTACACATAAGCATGTAAAACTTGATAGCTTCAGGTCTGTAAGCCACACTTGTGTAAGTTCCTGAAGTGTCCACGTTCCTGGATGTCCAGAAGGTAGTTCTCCAGCAGCTATTATACGGCCCGTGGGGGATGGGCAACTTTCCTGGTCCTGGAAGTGTTCTGTTGCACCAGCTATTGGTGGGGAAGGCACAGGAAGGAACGTTAGGATTCAGACCTCAGACCGTGCCTTGCATGAGCCACCACCCGCTGCGGGAGGCAGCTGCTTAGACGTAGTGCTGGCGGTGTGTGAGTGAGAAATGGGGAAGAGTCCACAGGATGCAAGGTACCTTGAGTCCTGGAGAAAGGCGCACAGCTAACTCTGCAAGGGAGTAGAATTGGGGCTTTAACACTAAACCACCGTCACCAGTGGAGAGGCCGGAAACCGAGGACCACAGGCTCTGAGCTCAGACATTACAGAAGCAGGGGTGCTTAGTGGTCATAACGAGAGCAGTGATGAGGTGGGATCTGCAGGCTGAGGCCTCATTGCCACAGGACTAATTCCCAGTGGCCACCGCCACTCGGGAGCAGTGGGGGCTGTGTGTGACGGTGTTGGGGGCTCTGGAGCTGTGAGAGCTGTGTGTGACAGTGTTGGGGACTGACTCTGGAGCTGTGACAGCTGTGTGTGACAGTGTTGGGGGCTCTGGAGCTGTGACATTTGTGTGTGACAGTGTTGGGGACTGACTCTGGAGCTGTGACAGCTGAGTGTGACGGTGTTGGGGACTGACTCTGGAGCTGACAGCTGTGTGTGACAGTGTTGGGGGCTCTGGAGCTGTGACATTTGTGTGTGACAGTGTTGGGGACTGACTCTGGAGCTGTGACAGCTGAGTGTGACGGTGTTGGGGACTGACTCTGGAGCTGACAGCTGTGTGTGACAGTGTTGGGGGCTCTGGAGCTGTGACATTTGTGTGTAACGGTGTTGGGGACTGACTCTGGAGCTGTGAGAGCTGAGTGTGACGGAGTTGGGGAGGGACTCTGGAGCTGTGACATTTGTGTGTGATGGTGTTGGGGACTGACTCAGGAGCTGTGACAGCTGTGTGTGATGGTATTGGTGAGGGACTCTGGAGCTGACAGCTGTGTGTGACGGTGTTGGGGAGGGGCTCTGGAGCTGTGACAGCTGTGTGTGGTGGTGTTGGTGAGGGACTCTGGAGCTGTGACAGCTGTGTGTGATGGTATTGGTGAGGGACTCTGGAGCTGACAGCTGTGTGTGACAGTGTTGGGGAGGGGCTCTGGAGCTGTGGCAGCTGTGTGTGACATTCTTGGGGCTGGCATTATCTTAGCCATCTTAGAGCCTTTTGTGTGTTACCTAAGGTACTAATTTATTTTTTAGCTTTCTATTTTGACAGATTCTTAAACTTACACCAAGTTGTAAGACTTCACCCAGAGCTACTGTGGTCCCAGAATGTTTGCATTTGGTCTCACTGGCTTCAGTTTTCTCTCTCTGTATATGTTTGTTTATACTTAGACACACATTTTGACTACCTGAGATTAAGTCAGAAATATTGTCTCCCTTTACTGCTAAATACTTCGTATATGTTTGCCCTAATAATAAGGGCATTCACTGTTTTTAATAAGATTTTGTGTGTAAACATGAGTGTGCCCATGGAAGCTAGAAGGGGCTTCTCAGGTCCTTTGGAGCTGGAGTTAGAAGAATTTATGAGCCAACAAGTGTGTGCTGGGATTTGAACTCTAGCCTTCAGCAGCTCTTAACTGCTGAACCATATTTTCAGTTCCCAAATTAGAGTCATTACTTGTAATTACTACCATTTGGAGGGGCAACACAGAGGATTGGACCTAGGGTCTCACGTATGCTAGGCATGTGGTCCAGTACCGAGCTACATCCCCCCAGAAGCATTTCCTGATCCAATTATAATGCTCCAAGTCGAGATTAGGGAGGACAAACCAGTATCTGGTCCATGTTGACATCAGATTGCGCCAGCAGGGTTGATAGCTGCTTTCCCCTGGTTTGAGTCTTAACCTGTAAATGTGTATTTTGTCTATATCGATGGGAAGAGGTTCTTGATAGGTTTTGAGAGAATACTCCGGGTACTGTGTAGAACGCTGTAGATTTGTCTGATTTCCTCATGAATAGGTTCGGGTTCTACATTTGGCAGGGGTTCTGAGTTGAGTCTTCTGTCCTGTCCAGGCTGCTGTATCGATGTTGACTTACCGTAATGATAGCTGTAATGGGTGGTTTTGATTGAATGAAGAAGTACCTTGGGCACTAAAGTAGTACACCCTTGGGTCCTTCAAAGGGCTTCTCGAAAGAGGATTACCTGAAGGGGTAAGAGCCACCCTGAATATAAGGCACCCTCCAAACTGTGATCCTGTACTGAGTAAAAAGGAAAAGGCCAGTTAAGCGCCAGCATCTCCCTCGCAGTGTGTGGCCTGCTGACTTCACACCCTTACTGTCACAGCTGTGAGCTCCTGCCACCAAACTGTACCTACAGGAATAGGTTGTACTCTCAGACTGTGAGCCTTAAGTTGCTTCTTGTGAGTTACTTGGTCACAATGTTGAAAACACATTGCTATGTCTAATGTTGATCGTAGGTTAAGGTGGTGTCTTTACTAACGCTGGCACTTTTATCAGCTTTCCGTTGCTGGTGAAACCAGGAAGTAAGGAGGGACTAGGGGTCCCCTTAACCCTTTGACCCTGGCGCCCCAGTTTCCAGCTTCCCAGTACTGCTAGCCGCTGCGGACCAAGCTTTAAAGCCCCGTGCCCTTGCGGGTGCCGCAGAGCTAGGCCCCTGAACCGTGCGGCAGCTTCTGTGACCCTTGGGTTTGCCCGTAGCTGTCAATCCTATATGTCGATGGGCTTCCACCTGCTGCCTGTGACTCTCGCTCCTTCTAGGGTTTTTCTGGTCTTTGATGGGAAAGAAGGACTTTCCAAGGGACTTAGGATCTTGTAAACTTAGTGTCCAGTCCGGACTAACCAAGTCCTCCTGGTCCTGCTCACCTTCCCTTTCCCGTGCTTTTGTGGGCATGAGTCTATAATGGTTGTTCTCAGTGAGAGGCCTGAATCTTTCCAAGCAAGAATTCAGATGTCATCAGCGTCATTGGCTTTTGGAGTTGAGCCAATCTCGGTGTGGGGCGGGCCAATCTTCGTGTGGGACGGGGACAGTAACAGTACGTGGTGGGACTAATCTCAGTTTGGGGCTCCGAAGGGTCATTCCAGTATTTCCTTCAGGCCTAAGGCTGCATGGGGGGATGTGAGCTAGCTCTAAGATGATCTAACGGGGCGAACGGGACTGTGGGTGGGTTTCCTCCCCAGTGGGAAGTTATGGCCGATCCTGCCCAGACTAAGTGGGAAATCTGCTTCCCTGAATTGTTCGATTTCTAGCTTCCTATTTACAACACATTCCATGTTGGGTTTGTTATCCCCTCTCCCCTCACCCGACTCCGGGCCCCATGGAATGACTTTGGTTATTGGAAGCTTAAGGGCTTTTTTTTGTTTCTTCTTCTTTTTTTTTTTTTTTTTTGTAATTGATCTGAGCTTTTACAGGGCTCAGCGACACTGAGAACGCCACATAAGATCTCCTGGTGTCTGCATGTGCACACGTGTGTGTCTACTGGGACAGCCTTGGATGTCCCCATAGCTCAGGAGCCACCCAGGCCCACCCCGAGCCCACCCCCCCCCCCCCACACACAAGGTCTCACTGGCGCAGAGCTTGCTGAGTCAGCCAGGTTGGCTAGTCAGCAGACCCTAAGGATTGGCCTGCCTCTGCTTCCCCAGCCCTTGAGATGACAAGAATGTGCTGCTATTCCTGGCCTTTTCTCCTTTGCTTTCTTCTGAATGGTTTTGGAGATTAAAGCCGGGTCCTTAGCTTGCAAGGAGACTACCTCCCAAGCTGACTTTCTGACCTTTATAAAGGCGTTTCTGCTGCGGCCGGTAAAGCCCAGCTAAGTTGGAGAGTCGTGAACACAGGCTGAGGCTCAACAAGTACCAGGAAGAGAATTTGTCAGAGCGGGGTTTGGAAGTATACCTGGATATATGAAGCAGGGTGACACTTTACAAATAGTGTGGTTTATGGTTTTCCTTCCCCCTCCCCCTCTGTTCTCTCTCCAGACAGGCTCAGAGCTCAGCCCAGTTGATGGACCTGTTCCAGGTCAGATGGACTCAGGGCCCGTGTACCATGGAGAGTCAAGGCAGCTAAGCACCTCAGGGGCGCCGGTCAATGGTGCTAGAGAGCCCGCTGGACCCAACCCGCTGGGAGCAACAGGTCCTTGGCGGGTAGACCAGAAGCCCGACTGGGAGGCTGCCTCAGGCTCTGCCCACGCTGCTCGCCTGGAAGATGCCCACGATCTGGTGGCCTTTTCGGCTGTGGCCGAAGCTGTGTCCTCTTACGGGGCCCTTAGCACCCGGCTCTATGAAACCTTCAACCGTGAGATGAGTCGTGAGGCTGGGAGCAACGGCAGGGGCGCCCGACCTGAGAGCTGCTCTGAGGGCAGTGAAGACCTTGACACTCTACAGACCGCCCTGGCCCTCGCAAGGCATGGCATGAAACCACCCAACTGCAACTGTGATGGCCCAGAGTGCCCCGACTACCTCGAGTGGCTGGAGGGGAAGATCAAGTCTGCGGCCATGGAGGGCGCAGGCCAGGAGCGGGCCAGGCTCCCAGGCACTCTGCCTCCTGGTGAGGCTGGCCTCCCGGCCCCAAGCATCAGACCACTCCTCAGCTCTGAGGTGCCCCAGGTGCCTCCCCTGGAGGGCCTGCCTCTGTCTCAGAGCGCCTTGAGCATTGCCAAGGAAAAGAACATCAGCCTGCAGACAGCCATCGCCATCGAGGCTCTCACGCAGCTCTCCTCGGCCCTCCCTCAGCCTTCTCATTCCACTCCCCAGCCTTCCTGTCCACTCCCTGAGGCCTTGTCTCCTTCTGCCCCTTTCAGGCCTCCCCAGTCCTACCTCCGGGCGCCCTCATGGCCTGTGGTTCCCCCAGAGGAGCATCCATCCTTTGCTCCCGACAGCCCAGCCTTCCCTCCAGCAACTCCAAGAACTGAGTTTCCTGAAGCGTGGGGTACCGACACCCCTCCAGCGACACCCCGGAACTCCTGGCCTGCACCCCGCCCTAGCCCAGACCCCATGGCTGAACTGGAGCAGCTGTTGGGCAGTGCCAGCGATTACATCCAATCAGTATTCAAGCGGCCTGAGGCCCTGCCCACCAAGCCCAAGGTCAAGGTTGAGGCCCCCTCTCCCTCCCCCACCCCAGCACCATCCCCTCTTTCTCAGAGGGAGGCTCTCCTGCCATCCTCGGAGCCCGACACCCATCAGAAGGCCCAGACGGCGCTACAGCAACACCTTCACCACAAGCGCAGCCTATTCTTGGAACAGGCCCATGACGCCTCCTTCCCTGCCCACACAGAGCCTCAGGCTCCTGGCTGGTGGGCCCCACCAGGCTCACCTGCCCCACGGCCTCCTGACAAACCATCCAAGGAGAAGAAGAAGAAGCCCCCTACCCCGGCTGGAGGTCCTGTGGGAGCTGAGAAAACCACCCCAGGGACCAAGCCCAGCGTCCGAAAGCCCGTTCAGATCAAGAAGTCCAGGTCCCGGGACATGCAGCCTCTCTTCCTGCCTCTTCGGCAGATTGTTCTGGAAGGGCTGAAGCCCCAAGCCTCAGAGGAGGTACCGGCACCTCCACCTGCCCCGCTCTCCGCGCCCCCTCCCGCCTCCCAGGGTGCTGCCTCCCAGAGTTCTGGTGCCCCTCCCCCCCCAGAACCTTCTCTTGCGCTGTTTGCACCTAGTCCCTCTGGGGACAGCCTGCTGCCCCCCACTCAGGAAATGAGGTCCCCCAGCCCTATGGCAGTCCTGCAGCCAGGCTCCAGCGGCGGCCCCCTTCCCCCTGCTGACGACAAGCTGGAAGAGCTCATCCGGCAATTCGAAGCTGAATTCGGGGATAGCTTTGGGCTTCCCGGCCCTCCCTCGGTGCCCAGTCAAGACCCTGAGAACCAATCCACATGTCTCCCGGCTCCGGAGAGCCCTTTTGCCACCCGATCCCCCAAGAAGATCAAGATCGAGTCTTCAGGGGCCGTGACTGTGCTGTCAACCACGTGCTTCCATCCGGAGGAGGCGGGCCAGGAAGCCACGCCCACCAAGGCTGAGCACCCGCTCACGCCCACCCTCAGTGGCTTCTTGGAATCGCCTCTTAAGTACCTGGACACGCCCACCAAGAGTCTTCTGGATACACCTGCCAAGAGGGCTCAGGCTGAATTTCCCACCTGCGATTGTGTCGGTAAGTCCATCTGCGTGTTGGGGAAGGGCTCCGAAGCAGCCTGCTGGGCGTGGGTCTCTAGGCTCTTTCATTGGGCAGATAACCGGTTTACTGAATGCCCACCAGCGTGCTGCGTCCGAAGCAAACGAGCTGATGGGCAAGCGGGCAAAACCCTGAAGGCCAGTGCCAGTCTAACTGAGGCTGCCATCGTGGAGGCTGTCTTCGTTCCTTTCCTGTAGCTGCAAAGAGATAAAACTTAGCTAAAAGCAATGTAACGGAAAACACGTTTATCCTGGCTCAGTTTAAAGATGCACTCTGTCATGGCGGGGAAGTCAAAGGGATAGGTCGGAGTCTGAAGCAGCTGGCCGGCCGCATGGTGACCAGGATCAGGAGGCAGAGAAGGACGAATGCTTGCACGGTCAGAATGTCAGCCAGGGAACTGCGCCACCCACAGTGGGCTGGCCCTTCTACCCCAGTTACCGCCCCCCATAAGCCTGCCTGGAGGCCTATCTCCTGGTGATGATGTCACTTCCTGTAGGTTGCGCCTTTGCAGAGCCCTGCAGGCCCCCAGCTAGAATGGAGCAGCTCTAGATGTTAGGAGTGTGCCTTGGGCTTGAAAGTAGGTGGCTTTGAAGTGGTGGGTGGGATCAGGGTCTAGGGGAGCCAACCTCAGGAGCTGTGTTTTATCCCAGGGTGGTGGTAAGTTCCTGGGGGCTTGAAAGCAGGTGATGTCTGTTATCTTAAGCATTTGGCTTATGGTGGAAGGAGAAACTCTCCAGGAACTAGAAAGAAAATGCCAGGAGCTATGTAAGGAAATGTGTGCCTGGGGGAGGGGGAGGGAGCGGATGGATGGATGGATGGATGGATGGATGGATGGATGGATGGCTCTGGAGGAAGAAGAGGAACAGGTCTTGGGTCTTGGCCATGGCAGTGTTCTTCACCCAGATCCGGTTTGGAGGGGAGTGTGGACTCCAGTTGTGTAGGCCTGAGTCTGGAGTGGTTGTGCAGCAGGAGTCTAATGTGGTTAGTGTCCCTGTGCCCCGGATCAGGGGCTAAAGAGCCTATCAGTTTGTAGGTCTTGCCCTTGGAAGCCTTAGAAAGGCTCCCATGGATGTGACAGTCTCCGGAGGAGGTCCTTGGTGAGGTGGCAGCCTGGGGTGTGCTCTAGCTTCTGTGACCTGTTGCTTAGGAAAGGTCCACGGAGGACACGTGCTTTTCAGATATTGACATAACAGACGCAGTAGTGCTCTGAGAGGCACATCGAATTCTTGTGACCATGCTATACAAAGGGTTCTCTCTGACTTGTTAAAATGTGCAGACAACAAATAAACCATAGGATTTGTAAAGTGTTTCTCCCGGTTAGCGAGGAGGGTCTGCACCTTTCATCCACTCAACTCCAGACTCCAGGGTACAAGACCGGGGACCATGATAGGATTCACGTGGGACAGAGGTGGACCCTGGGTTTCTTTGGGGGTGAACAAGCACATCAGCTGCACTGTTTGTTGTAATAAGGTATGTCCGTGAAGGCCCCCTGACCCCCAGTGTTTGGGGAGAAGCATGTTCAGGTCGTGAGAATTCCGCCTCTTGCCTTTACGTGTTTGTATGTCTGTCTCAACTTACCCAAATGAAGTGGTTCAATGTCCTTACCTATTGCTCAGGACTTAATAAACGTGTTACTTGTTAAGTCCTAGTTTATGGCTGTGAGGGTTGGTCAAGGCCGTCTTAGAATGTGAATTCCAGCTCCATCGGTCACTGGCTGGGAGTGAGTGTCTGGGTTCTCTAACCTTCAGGTGCAGGCTGACTCTCTGGAGCAGGGAGCTGCAGGGCACCGATAGTATTCACGAAATGCTGCTCAGCTCCAGGCCCCAGACCAAGCATGCCACAGTCACTATGCCATATGACCCACAGTAGTAGTCACATGATGTGAGGATTGTGGATAACTATGAGGAAGCAGAAATCAGATTAAATTTGTTTCCAAGGTCATAGATTGAGATTTGAACTTAAGCACTTGGCCCTTGATTACCATGTCACACTTATTTATTTTTCTTTTAACTTGCTGCTGTTGCATTTGTGTGACACAGGGGAAGTCGGGACAATTCCGTGCAGCCACTTTGCTCCTCGGAAGCCGGTGTCAGGGATCAAATTCAGGCCATCAGACCTGTGCTGCCCTTTACCACTGAGCTACGCCTGCAGACACCCCACCATGCCGCATTGTGACTGAAACTAGTTAATTGGAAAACAAGCCCTAATGACAAAATGGGTTTGTTGAAGGGGTTTGCATTCAATTTCTGGAGGGCCTGAGGCTCCTGTGGGAAAAGACATCCAGTGTTATTTTAGAAGCATCTAGAGCCCTGTGTCCAGAATAGCCCTTTTCAGCTGCTCTGGGTAAACTGTGAATTCGGGCTGCAGAGAAGGTCTTTCCAGCAAACATGCTCACCCTGAGGCTCATGACAGATGGGACCATCCCATGTTGCAGAAAAAACGTATCCCTTCATGTTTGGTAGGTAGGATTTGCAGGTCCATATGTTTGTAGGGATGTAAGGTGAGACCTGGAGAGTTCATTAAGAATTCATAATATATACTTAAGAGCACTTGCTGCTGTTGCAGAGGACTTGGGTTTGGTTACCTACACCCACAAGACAGGTTCAAACCCAGCTGTGACTCCATTCCAGGGGCTCTGCCTCCCTCTTCTGGCCTCTGTGGGTACCGGACACACACAGTGCACATAAAGACCAATACACATACACAGCATTTTTTGTCCTTGTTTTTTGAGACAGGGTTTCTCTGTAGCTTTGGAGTCTGTCCTGGAACTAACTCACTCTGTAGACCAGGCTGGTCTCGAACTCAGAGATCCACCTGCCTCTGCCTCATGAGTGCTGGGATTAAAGGTGTGTGCCACCAACGCCCAGCCATACACAGCATTTCTTTTTTTAAAAACCAAAAAGACATCGCCTGTAACATGATACAAGAAACTTATCATTTGTGCTTCCTCTAACTCTGGACAGATGTGCTGTCCAGGCCCCTTGAAGCACCACTCGGTAACCATAACCAAAAGATAAAGGGCATTACCCCTTTGTGAGACTCACAGAGCAGATGAGATGGCACACACAGACAGTTCCAGCACTCGGGACACTGAAAATCAGAATCAGGAGTTTGAGACCAACCTGGGCTACATACGTTATAGGCTAGTTGGTGCCATGTAGAATGTCTTAATAAAATAAAAATTGTTATGTATTTCTTGGGTGTTTAGATGGGATACATCTAAGTTTCGCTCTCTGAATCTAGGATACTAAAATTAAAGGCAGCAACGAGATGTCAAAATAGACCTAGGCAATGTGGAAGACGTTGGCTCTCAGAGATGCTGTAATCTTTAACTACTTGGGGTGGTGTTGAAATATCCCTAACACTTTGAAGTTTGCATCGGAGAGACATCATTTGACCTTGACCATCCTGTGACACTTGGCAGAGGTGAACAGGGCCCTGGACTGCAGTGATTATTTGTGTCCATGCTCAAGAATGGAGTAATGCCCAGAGGAGGAACTGGATTAGGGCAGAGGATGAATACAGACGACATTTTAGTGGGAACAGGTCCTCTGAGATCTACTCATTTCAGACGAGGAAGCATCTGTGTTAGCTTTTAATCACTGTCTGATGTATCCCAGGAGCAGCCAACAGGAAGCTGTGGTGACTGGCTAGCCCAGAGCCCAGGTTAGATGTGGGGGTCGGGGGAAGATGGGGTGGATTTCACAGGACTGCTGCATTGGAGCCTGTTGTCTGCCTAGAGAATTGGCTGTAACAAAAACCTCTCCATCGCCTGGAGCCTGGTGAAAGCTGCCGGGAGGGGATGACATTGTTCATCAGATGTGGCCTCAGCCGAGTCTACCAGGTGACATGGGTAGGGACAGAATGGAGACCAGTAAGTTAATCTTGGTTTGTGGCCATGGAGAGTCTGTTTCTTGTACCGCTCATTTGTCCCCTCCCCCTTGCATTCAGTTTAATGCGATAGTGTTAAAATATTTTAAAACAATAGAGGACTTGGATAAAAGTGGAGAATGTGGTCCTGAGTTAGAGGGTATCAGAGAACTTCCTGGGAGAGGTGATGTTTGAGCTGTGGGTATGGGGGGAGGCATGAAGACAAGAAAGACAGGTTCTGCTGTGGCCGGCATCTTACCCGGGAGTGGGAGGGGAGCAGTTTCAGGGGAAGGAGGAATGATGCTAAAAGCGGAGGAACCAGTTGACAAACTCAAGCAAGAAATTATGGTGCCTAGCTTACGAGCTCCTTTAAGCCTGGTACTCGGGAGGCAGAGGCAGGTGAATCTGAGTTCAAGACCAGCCTGGTCTACAGAGTGAGTTCCTGGACAGCCAAGGCTCTATAGAAAAAAGAAATTCTCCAAAAACGAAATGACTGCTGAGTAGGAAGGAAGGGAAAGATGGGCAGAGAGGGGAGACGGAGGAACAGTTGTGACCCCCGAGATTCCAGGTGTGGTAGAGGAAAACTCCAGCCTTGTAGATGTGGGAGGGTGGTGTGGAGGGCACCCAAGACTGGATCCATGAACTAGAGACCCGGCTGCAGCTGATGATGGTTGAAAGTTGAAAGTTCAGTTGAGGTCATTTCCAGGCTGACTGTGTAGACGAGAAAGAAGCCTGAGAGTAGAGAAGCCCAATGTTTTAGGGGAGAGGGCTCACCCTGGAGGCGAAGGTCATGTGTGAAGAAATGGAGGAGGAAAAAGAAGGCAGGGCAAAGCCCTGGAGGATGGCGAGCATCAGCACTAAGTCAGTCGGGGTTCACCTGACTGTTCTCTGTGCTCATCTTTGCAGTTAAAGCCTGTGTTTCTGGATAACAGGATTGTCTCCTGCAGTTCTGAAGCGTGGAGGCTAGCAGGTACTCTGCATATTTTTGGGTGAACTGGCCAACCTTCCTGCACCCCCCCTGTTTTTTATCTTGACAGATGTGTGGCCAGAGTAGGTATAAACGCTTCATTTTTTATCTTTGCGGTCAGCTCATGGGCCCGTTGTATATA